TCTTTCAGCTTGAGAAATGCCGAGTGTATTCTTCCCTTTTGGTTTTCTATCTCCATGTCTTTGCACATGTCATCATAATGCTTTACTTTGTCTTCTGGAGCCACCCTTTTAAATCTTCTGTTCAGCTCTTTTACTTCCTCATTTCTTCCTTTTGCTTTAGCTACTCAATTGTCAAGAGCAAGTTTCCCAGTCTCTTGTAACATCCATTTTGCTCTTTTCTTTCTTTCCTGTCTTTTTAATGACCTCTTGCTTTCTTCACGTATGATGTCCTTGATATCATTCTACAACTCATCTGGTCTTCAGTCATTCGTGTTCAGTGCATCAAATCTATTCTTGAGATGAGCTCTAAGTTCAGGTGGGATATGCTGGACTGTGGCTTTCCTGGACTTATTCTAATTTTCTTCACGTATCTGTCAGTTTGTTGTACTATGGAGGCTTGCGTGTTGCGGTGATGCTGGAAGCTATGCCACTGGTATTCAAATACCAGTAGGGTCACCCATGGCAGACAGGTTTCAGCTGAGCTTCCAGACTAAGACAGACTAGGAAGAAGGACTCAGCAGTCTACTTCTGAAAAGAATTAGTCAGTGAAAACCTCATGAATAGCAGCAGAATATTGTCTGATATAGTGCCAGAAGATGGGCCCCTCAGGTTGGAAGGCACTCCAGATACAACTGGGGAAGAGCTGCCTCCTTAAAATAGAGTTGACCTTAATGATGTAGATGGAGTCAAGCTTTCAGGACCTTCATTTGCTGATGTGGCATGACTCAAAATGAGAAGAAACAGCTGAAAACGTCCATTAATAATAGGAATGTAGAACATACGAAGTATGAATCTAGGAAAATTGGAAATTGTCAAAAATGAAATGGAATGCATAAACATTGATATTCTAGGCATCAGTGAGCTGAAATGGACTGGTATTGGCCATTTTGAATTGGACAATCATATGGTCTGCTATGCCAAGAATGGCAAATTGAAGAGGAATGCATTGCATTCATCATCAAAAAGAACATTTCAAGGCATATCCTGAAGTACAACGCCGTCAGTGATAGGATAGTACCCATACGCCTACAAGGAAGACCAGTTAATACGACTGTTATTCAAATTTATGCACCAAACACTAAGGCCAAAGATGAAGAAATTGAAGATTTTCACCAACTTCTGCAGTCTGAAACTGATCAAACATGCAATCAGGATGCATTGAGAATTACTGGTGATTGGAATGTGAAAGTTGGAGACAAAGAGGAAGGGTTGGTAGTTGGGAAATATGGCCTTGATTATAGAAACAGTGCCAAAGATTGCATGATAGAATTTTGCAAGACCGATGACCAGAAGTGAGAAATCACATTGGTTGAGAAGGTCATGGAAAGGAAGAGTAGAAGAGGGAGCAGTGAGAGGGCGCTCCAGGGGAGAGAGGCATGTACACTGAATGTTTAATTGCAACATTCCACTACACATTGCAAAATGCTAACTTATGTGAAAGTGAGTCGCTTTTCAACAACTGGGATGACACAAAGAGGCAGGGGTGGCAGTTGGTACCTTGGTACTTCCAAAAAAAAAAAAAAAACTTCTTCTGGATAATTCTCTCAAAGAGTAGTTCAGTGATGCATATTTGGTTCTTTTTTGCAAGTATTACACTTTTTAGTGATTGCTACTAATAACTGTTTGAATGCCTAATGTGTGTGCCTTTTGAGTATTTTCCAGAAATTACCATAGTTCCTCAATGATTTTGCAGATACTTTGGCGTCAGTTAGACATGTTCTGTTCAGCAGATTTAGGGGTCACCTTTCAATGTGGAATTTGAATTGTGATTATCCATCACACTGGAAGAATAATATTTCTAATCAATCTGTCTTTATAACCACTTTCATCAAAATTCTAACTGCTCTGTTTTTATGTAAGGTTACCATTACCACCTGGGGCTTTTTCCGGACTCTGGAAGAATCAGGAAGCATTCAAGCATTTATACTTCACAAAATTTCCTGTAAGAACTTTAATATATTTTTTTGTTACCTTCTTATGCACTTCTCTGCAGTTCTTGCCTGTTAAATTGAGTGACTTCCTCCTAGAATCATAGATCGCAAAGGAACTTTTAAAGGTCATCAGGATCAGTTTCTAGCTCTGAGGGATGAGAATGCCCCCAAACCACAATTGGCTAAGTAAGTCATTTTTATACTTATTTTTATCAGTCTGTGGAGATAAAAATTCCCCAGTTTCTCTTAGGCTTTTTTCCGAGGCTTTAACAGCCCTCTCGGTATCAGGAATTTTTTTTGTTAAATCAAAATATTTTTCAAAGTTTCTGTATCATTCATTCTATCGGATTCCTCTTTACAGACTGAGAGCCATTGATCAGAATTGTATACTGTCAGGAAGACTCCTTAACCTCCTCTTAGTTACGTGAGCAAAATTCATTCTGCTTGCTGGATATTGTATTTTTCTATTTTTTTACTTGTTTTTGGCATCCTTTCCTAAATTGTCTCTGTGCTCTTTATTTTAAAATCCCATTTGAAAATGCAGATACAAGACAGAGACAGTGTTCTCAAAGCCCAACTCCCAGTACCCTGGATAATTATGCCCCAATGTAGTCCTGTTTCCTGTTTTGTGACTTACCTGTTATTCCATGCATAGGTCATGTGTGTTGTGTTCATAATAGAACCTTATTGATAATACTCTTCCAGATCTCATCATCACCATTCTGCTGCCCTTTCACTTAAGTTTCTTTCCCTGAGAGAGATGGCTGATCCTCATTACACACTCAGTAAAAAAGAATGAATGATCAGAATTTCATAAAAAAAGTGAATCTAAGTACTTAACATTCTTTCTTTATTATTTGTGAGTGAAGGGCAGATAACCTAATCAAGTAGAAAAATGATAAGAATAAAAATAGCTTCCTTTACAAAGAGATGTCAGTGTCAAATGACCTCAGAAGCCAAGATTAAACATGCCCCCGATGGACTCTGGCAGGGAAGATTTGTCAGTGTAGTTGGCTCCAGTCAGCCCAATCTACCTGCCTGATGGGCAACAGTTGAATCATCAAAGTACTGGTATGATTGATTATAACCTGACAAAGGTAGACAATATGTTTATGTGCTTTGAACATGATCAACTCTAACACTGAAAGCTCTCTCAAGGTCCGAGTTCATGGTTAAGCTATATAGAGGGGTTCTGTCCACTGCCTTGTTACCTGACCTCACATCTCTCATTTGAGACTTAATAATAGCACTTAAGTATATAATATGCCTACATGTTTTTCATACATTAATTCACTTAATCCCCAAAACAATCCATGAGATAGATACTATTAAAATCCTCATTTAACTGATAAGAATATTGAGGCACAGAAGGATTGAGTAACTTGCCCAGAGTCACACTGCTTAGAAATGATGGAGCTGAGATTTGAAACCAGATAGGCTGGCTCCAGAGTCCATGCTCTTCACCACTACTCTAGGCTGCCTCTATAATAGTAGTAATAATAGTAATTGCAGTAAGAGTTACCAATTATTAAGGGATCATGATGTGCGAAGGCACATCCTCTCTACTTACTGTACACCAGTCTCTATTTCATATTCGCAGCAGACTTATAAGGCAGAGATCATTACCCCATTTAACAGAGGAGCATATGGAGTCTCAGAAAAGCTAAGAAACACAAACAGTGACTCATGTGGATTTGTACCAAAGCTCATTCTCACAAACATAGATATCACGAAAACTTAGAAGCACTAGGGGAAGCAACCTTTATTTTCTTTATACTTCTTCTTCTTCCTCATTCTTCATTCTGTGTTAACTTCTAGTCAGTGAAGAAGTACTACTTTGAGTTAATTAAAAATTAAATTTTATACATACTATTAAATTTCACTGAAACTTGAGTCCAATCCCAATCCATGTTAATAAACTAGGCTGTATTTTGTAATTATTCATAGGGAGCTTTAAAGCTTTTAAAAATTAATACAATTAAAGAGGAAATCTATCAAAGAATTACTTTGCAATACCAAAGTATGTTGGAAATTTTGAGCTATTACTTCTCCATTAAAAATCTCAAATTGGGTTCATAAACTGTACAACTCTTAAGTTTAAACACTTAAGTTGAACATATATAAGAACACTGTAATTTATTCCTGGTGTTAGAGGAGCAAGGAGCTTCTAATAAGCTTTCAAAATCAAAGGTAATTTAATTCCATAGTCTAGTTATGAAAGAAAGACAAATGCGTACAATAAATCCATTGCTATCATATTTTATATTTTATAAAGCTTATAAATGATTGCATTTCCTAAGAACACTGTGTGATAATTAACATTTTTATTCTTCTTTGCAGGGATACTATGACACCATGGATGCTGGTTACATGGATGAAGAAGGTTATGTGTATGTTATGTCTCGAGTTGATGATGTAATAAATGTTGCAGGTCATAGGATTTCTGCAGGTGCCCTTGAAGAGGTATTGATGATTATTGATATTCTATTCCAGGTAGCATTTAGGAACACAGCTGAACTGAAGACACTATTGAGGTTAAGTCATTCTGCCTGGAAAATTACCACATCACTGATTTGAAGCAGAGGCTAGGTTATTCTAGTATCTCTCTCACCTCACTTTCTGTCATGTAGATTTGCATATTCTCCACACTCCCCCCATCTCTGCCTGGGCAGTAGTGAGGAGTTTTAAGTGCTTAAATATATTTATTCTTTATGGGTGAGTCTGTATGTATTTGCATCTCATGCCTTGGTTTGCATATATAGTCTATAAGTGGTATGGGATTCAAACGTTTTTTTGCACTCTTAAATTCTAATAATTTTTTTTCAAATGTAAGTTACTCAAAGTACACAGTATAGTATTTTTTAATGATTTTATTTTTTTAATTTACATAGAGTAAAATTTACTTTTTTTGTTGTACAATTCTGAGTTTTTATATTTGCATGGATTTTTGTAACACCATCAAAGACAGGAACACAGAACCATTTCAACACTGACAAATAATACTTTCATAATGTCACCTTTGTATTCTGACCCTATCGCATACCTGACCCCTGGAAAACACTGGTTTTTCTCTGTTTCTGTGTTTTTTTCCTTCTTTACAATGTTATATAAATGGATGAATACGGTATGTATTAGTAGGAATTTTGTATGTCTTGCTGTTTATTTGGATCTTTTACAACATTCTTCATCAGCATTCTGCACTTTTCAGCATACAGATTTTTAACATGTTTTGTTAGATTTATAATTATTTAAGTTTTTAATAGCTAGTATAAATTTTTTTTTTTTAAATTTTGGTTTCCAATTTTTATTGCTAGAATATAGAAATATTATTGATTTTGTATAAGATATGTGTTCTGTGATCTTGCTAAACTCACTTATTAGTTCTAGGAGAATTTTGTGAATTTCTTGGGAATTTTCTATGTGGACAATAATGTTGCCTGTGATCAGAGACAGTTTTATTACTTTCTTTCCAATCTGAATATCTTTTATTTATTTTCTTGGTTTTCTAGAGTTGGTTAGGACTTCAAGTATGATGTTGAATAATAGTAGTGAGAGAGATACTGCTTCCTAGTTCCTGATCTTAGGGTAAAAGCATTTAGTCTTTTCCCATTAAGACTGATATTATAAGAAGAGTAAAAAATAGAAAGAGGGAATGGAATGCGTGGTTGATTGCCTTCACAAACAACTGCCTCTTTTACTATGAGACCAGAAAAACTGGATGGTGCCTGGCTACCATTACTGAATGTTTCAATCAAAAATTCTAAAGAAGAATCTTGATAAAAGGGGGAAAAATGTGAAACAAAATTTCTGTTCTCATGGAATCCAGACTTTCTGGAGTCATTGAGGCTGGATGAACCCCCAAAACTACTGCTCTGAGATAATCTTTAACCCTGAAGTCATAAAACAAAAACATCTCCTGAAGCCTTCTTTAAACCAAACAACAGTCTAGCTTAACTAGTAAAGACTGTCTCTCAGTGACTATTGTGATCTTTTAAATAACTTACCATATGGGATCAAATTGATAACAGCAACTCAAAAGGTTAGATAGGAAGCTTAAGGGAATATGAGTTTATGTCAATAGGAGAGGAATAAATCATAAAAGGAGGGTGAGAATGGCTGCACAATTTGAAGAATGTAATCAATATCACTGTCTTGTACATGTAAAAATTGTTGAATTGGTGTATGTTTTGCTGTGTATATTTTCAACAGCAATTAAAAAAAGAAAAGAATGTGTTTTTATAGACGCCTTTTATCATATTGAGGAAGTTCCCTTCTATTCCTAATTTGCTGAGTTTTATTTTCTTGTTTTGTTTTTCCAATCATAAATGTATGTTAAATTTTGTCAAATGCTTTTTCTGACCCTATTGATAGGATCATTTGCTTTCTCTTTGCCTGTTAGTGAGGTAAATTGCATAAATTAATTTTCACCTGTTGAAAATCACTTACATTCCTCACATTGCTAGAATAAACCTCACTTGGTTGCAATATATTCTTTTTTCATATTGATTTTTTAATCTATGTTAATTTTCCTTGTTCTGAAGTCTGCTTATTGTGACATTCATATAGGTACTCTAGCTTTTTGTGGTTAGTGTTTGAATCATTTATTTTTTTCATCCTTTCAGTTTTAACCTATCTACATCCGTATGCTTCACATACTGGTATATTATTGATACATTTATATTTATGTCCACCTCTTTATTATTAGTTTTCTCTTTGCCTATTTTCCTTTTTGAGGAGCCCTGCTGCTGCAAAGGTTAAACGCTCGACTGCTAACCAAAAGGTTGGTGGTTCGAACCCACCAGTAGTTCCATGGGAGAAAAGACCAGGTGATCTGCTCCCCTAAAGATGATAGCATAGGAAACCCTACAGGGCAATTTTACTCTGTCCTATAGGGTCGCTGTGAGTTGAGATTGACTCGACCAATGGCACACAACAACAACAACCACAACAACAACAATTTTCCTTTTCATTCCTCCATTTCCTCTTTCCTCTCCTCTTTTAAATTATTTGGTTCTTTTTTATAGCCTTTATTTCTTTTCTGAGACTGTCTATGTTCTCATTCATTATAAGAGTATTTACCCATACTTTCTGGGCCATGGTTAATGTTGGATTTTTAATATGCATATTTGTTAATTTTTATCCTTATTGTATAAATGATTTTATCCTGAATATTTTGGATTTTGTCTTATGAAATTCTGGATCCTGTTTAAATATTCTGGATTTTTGTTCCTGTTGCTTGTTTATTTTAGCAGATGATCAGTCCTGTTAAGGTCAGACTGTACATCCTGGCCCACTTTATGGACTGTGGTTCTAACCTCAGTGTATTTTTCAAGTCCTTTGCAGTGCTGTTCTGATCTTTCCTACCGGTGACCCTCCCAGAAGCCAGTCTGAAACTCTAGCCTAGTGTTCAGAACCTTTGCTGTGTGGATTGTGGTTGTATTAATGCATGAAGAGCTTAGGAGTGAGTCCAGGACTACATGCAGATTTAAAACATCCCTTTCTGCAACTCCCTCTTCTTCATGATCCTCTCTTCACTCTCTGAAGCGCTTTCCAGGGCTCCCTCCTGCTTTTTCCTGGTAGAAAGTCAAAACGTTAGCCTCCCCACACTTTTAACAGGCTTTAGTACTGCAGGGTTGACTGTACAGTGCCTCTGAAGAAACGGAGGCATTCTGCCTTTTCGCTGGCATTTGTCTAGTGCAGTGCAGAGCAAATCAAGAGGACTCCACCCTCAGGGACTGCCTTGGATGCTATCGGGGAAGGGAAGCAGCACTAATTATTTCCAGGTGTTCTCTTGGTGTAAGCAGCCCTGGTGGCACAATGATTAAGCACTTGGCTGCTAACTGAAAGGCTGGCAGTCTGAAACCACACAGTGGCTCTGCAGGAGAAAGACCTGGCAATCTGCTCCCATCCTTGAAAATATTAGTCTAGAAAATCCTATGAGGCAGTTCTACTCGGTCACATGGACCCTGTATGAGTGGAAAACTGATTTGATGGCACCTAACAACAATAGCAAGAGTAGGAGCGTTCCCAGGGCTCCATCCCATAGGATCTGCTGTGCAGTGACAGTAGAGAAAGTGAGGCACAGCACTTTCTTGCCATCAACTTGGTGAATGGTGTGAAGAGTCCACAAGGTCACTATGGCACTGTAGGGATGGCGGTGGGGCACTGCTTCTTTGCTGGTGTTCACCTGCAGTAAGGAGAATAGAACCAAAAGGTTTCTGTTTCTTCCCTTTCCTTTCCTTCTGGCTAGAGACAGCAGGCTTTTCTCGAGGCTTTTTCTGTCCACTCTTTGGCAGTTCTGGCTTTGAGGATGCTCTGGTGCCCAGTCCAGAATATATATGAGGAAAAACAAACAAGCCACAATTACAACAACACAAAATAAAAACAAGGGAATAACAGGGAACTCACCAGGAGGTTGTCTCTTGAGTTTTGATAGTCTTCTGATTGTTTGTTTATAGATTTTAACCTCTTTTAGCTAGAGTTTGTAATTGTCAAAAAACAAAAATGAAAGCTAGAACCAGACAAATAAGCAAACCAAAAAAGTGGAACTCACCTCTAGGTTGTATTTTGAGTTCTGACAGAGTCTTCTGATAGTTGGTATGTGTATTTTAGCTCAGAATTTTTAGTTATAATTAACGAGAGAGATAAGGTAGAATGTATTTACATCATTTTTTCCAGAATGAGAAACACAGAATTGTTTCTAAGCAGAATGGGGCAAACTGCAAGTTAAATAAAAGAAAATGTATAAAGCAGCACAATGAATAATTCAGTGAGTAGTTTAAAGATTTAGTTACTCTTCTCCTAGTTAAAAGGTAGTTACCTTCTGTAAACGCTGTTTTTATCTTCAGCCCAAACTTAACAGCTTAACACTTCTTGTCATGATGGCTTTTTTTCCCCCAGTAACATTGATTTTTCAGTCAGTGTGGTATTGTTTGAGCAAAAGGAAAGAATTTTATAAAGTATTTTGGAACATGCGACCAGTATGCTATTATATTAACTTGTTTTGAAATGGCTGAATTTTGTAAAAACTTTAAGTTGAAATGTATGCTTCATGTATTTTGGTGTGTCAGCAAAATGGTGG